TAAAATAAAATAAAATAAAATAAAATAAAATAAAATAAAATAAAATAAAATAAAATAAAATAAAATAAAAAACCCCATGCAGAACCAGAGTGGCATGTTTCACATGTAGTTTTGTGTCTGGTCTGTTTTCACACTTCTTTATGGCCATGGAAATCTTATAGGAAACTACACAGTTATGGGTAATTTAATTGCATAGTTTTAAAATGTCAATGAAGGATACAGGAAACTATGCATTTATTGGCTGCGAGGCAATCATGATTGATACTACCTTTGAAACACAATAATACATACCACAAACTTGACTTAAAGCTGAAAGTGTTAAGAATAAAAGCACCATCACTTATAGAGGTAAGAACGAATTAAATTACTAGAGAGCTAGTCATTTTATGAAAGTCTTTGCATCTACTCATTGACCCGAACTTGAGATCTAAAGATGGGAAAGGTTAAAGTCACAGGAACAGAGGCTGGAAAGATAACTAAGTAGTTAAGAGAATCTGCTCCTCTTGCAGAGGACCCAGATTCAGTTCCAAGTACTCAAGTGATGGTTGACAACCATCTGTAACTCCAGTTTCAGGGATTCTGATGCCCTCTTCTGGACTCTTTAGGCATGATGTGCATTCATACATGGAGGCAAAATACTCATACACATAAAATCAAAGAATATCAATATTTTTTCCTTTTAAGTGGGTGAAACACAATCATAAAACAAGGGTATTAAATGAAAGTGTAGAAAGAATTCTATCAAAGATTACATTTAGAAATAAAATCTTATTTAAATATGCATATAAGGGAAATGTAATTTGTAAAAAATGGACTCACAAGAAGCAGACTCCATGATCACCTGAAAAACAACGAAATTGGGATATCTATCTATCTATCTATCTATCTATCTATCTATCTATCTATCTATCTATCAAAATATCCAGGAGTACACACCTTATATTTTGATCTGTTACAAATAATAAAACTAGGAAACACCTTCATGAGTAATTTTATGAGTTCAATTTACTTTCTTTCAGAATGAAACCAAACAAGTCCAATATAAAAAGCAGCAGAAAATAATGTTTGTGAATAGTGTTAAAATATCAATGAATTTTAGCTGAAGGAATTAGAGAAAAAATTAAAAATATTAAATGAAAACAAGATTTACCATAGTAAGTAGAAAAATTATTATTGGAAAATCTGTTATTGGAATTTAGTTGAAGTAAATTTAACTTAATTTTCTGCTAAAATTCAACACAATAATAAAAGGACTCCTTAAATCAATACATTCCCAAGAACATAACTAAAAAGACAGGTGACTCTATGGATCTGGCAGAGGGCACAGGAACGGCTAGTTCTAGCAACAGTGGAGACCATGCAGAATCTCAGGCTGGAAAACCTACTTAGAAACCACAGATGTTTTGAATAGCTTATGAATGAGGAAGGGAATTTAAAGGAAAGAGTTCTAAAAGTCAGTTTGGAAGAAAAACTAAAATCAATATATATCTGAACATCTCTTAAAGATGGGATTTGATTTTAGAATCTGACTCCAAAAGCACAAGAACTTATTCTCTGAGTTCATGCATTGAGTGACACAAAGCAAAGTTAAGGGTGTGGATATTATAACCCATCAGAGAGGTTATAGAAAGTTCTT